CCTCCTTCTCCATCGCCCCGCTTTCATCTGTGCTGCGTTTCTCTCTCTCTGCACCTTAGTCAATAACCCATCACTCTTCTTTTGGTTTTCCTTGTGCAGCCAAGGATGAGAGAGCGCAGAGCAGGTTATCATTCCGCAGCCTTCCTCGTTCCCCTGGAGGATCTTTTAACGAGAGCTTTTTTTGCCCTGTCACGTGAAATAAGTCAAACTTTCTACTGAGGTAACTCTGATCCTTCACTCACGGTGTGCAGTGTGGTGTGGGTGAGAACAGTCAGAGTGTGGAGTGGGGTGAGTAGAAGGAGTGGTTCAAGGAGCATTTCTAGATTTATTTTCTCTTAAATCTAGACTGCTTCTTTATTTCTGTTTTATGTCTTGTTTGCAGGTTTAGAGCTTGGAGGGTGTTTCAGTTGCTTTTTGTTATTCTTCTCCAGTCAAACAAAAGAGAGGAGCGGTGGAGTAAATTGGTCAAGAAGTACTTTAACAACATGTTCAGTGAGCTGGAGAGGCAGGCGAAGGCCAGGCTGGCAGGGGAGGATTGGCATCCACCAAGGTATTTAACAAGGATAAGCAGGAAACATTGTTGTGGTTTGACTGTAACTTGTATTTGTGAAATCTGTGAAGTGCAGGCTAAGCATATACCCCTGCCACGTCTACAGCAAAGGACAAAATCTGCACTCATATTCCATGTACTCAAGGTGGCTTTTGAGAGGCCAAGAGGGAATCATTGGGATATAGAAAACATTTTAAAAGGTGTCCTTTCATACTAGTAATTTTTATTTCTCTACTGCCTGTAGCCTTTAAAATCCCAGTACTTGCAGTTCCCCAGTCTCACTGACTGTGTATGCCTGGTGCTGACCAGCATTGTCACACTAATCTTCAAGAGGGATCATGTGTGCTCAGCTATACAGTGCTGTACTGACCCTGTGTGGGATGGAGATGGCAAAACAACCTCCTCCCCATCTCTCAGCTTCTGGGAGGTGCCAGGCAGCTTCAAAGTGAACTGGCACTTTTGTTAGTTGGATCTGAGCTGTGATGAGTTCAAGCAAGTTTACTTCAAGGCTGCCTGGCTCCATAAGGAGAAAACTGCTTTGTCATTCCCTCTTCTCCTCTTCCTTCCCCTTTCCTGATTTGCCTTGCTCCACAGCTCTAATTGTCATCCCTCAAACTGTAGTACGTGATTCCTTGCGCAGTTCAACAAAGGGATGCTCAAAATCCTGCACCCGTGGAGGAACAGCCCCATGCACTAGTACATGCTGGGGGTTAACGAACTTGGCAAGAAAGAACCTGGGGGTAAACTTGTGGGCAGGGAGTTGGACAGGAGTCACATTGTGCGATTATGGGAAAGGACAGTTGTGTTCTGGCCTGCACGGGGAGGAGTGTGAGGAGCAGGTCAAGGGAGGTGAACCTTCCTCTCTGCTCAGCACTGCTGAGGCCACACCTGGCATGCTGGGTACTGTTCTGGTCTCTTCAGTACAGGAGAGACATGGACATACTGGAAAGGGTCCAGTGGGGGACCACTAAGAAGCTGAAGGGGATGGAGCAACAGCTCTACAAGGGAAAGCTGAGAAACCTGGTGCTGTTCAGAAGAAGAGAGGGCAAAACTTATCACTGTGATAAATAACCGAAATGAGGGTGCAGTGAAGATGCAGGCAGGCTCTGTTCAGTGGAGCCTAGTGACAGGACAAGAGGCAACAGGCCTGAAACACTGCAAGCTCCATCTGAATGTGAGGAAAATTCTTACTGTGAGGGCGGCTGAGCGCTGGCACAGGTTGCTCAGAGAGCTGGTGGAGTCTATGCTGGGGGATATTTAAAAGCCACCTGAACTTGGTCCTGGACAACCTTCTCTAGGTGGCCCTGCTTGAGTAGAGGGATTGGACAAGATGAACTCCAGAGGTCCCTACTAACCTCAAGGTTTTTGTGATTCTTGCACTAGTTTTGAAAACACCCCTTTTTTCTTGTTTTGTATGGTGAATGGCATCCCAGGACCTCAGTCTGAGGTGTTGGCTGCCTACTTCCCTGGGGTTTTGGTTTTCTAACTGTAAAAGTGAGATAAGACCTCCTATCTACCTCAGATAATTCGTTAGTTAATACTTGTTTTCATACTTTGAAAACAGGAAGAGAGAAATACTTGTCAAAATGTAGAAGTCCATCAATGAATGAGGTTAGAAACACTCAAATGGTAATATAGCTTACATTTATGTGTGTGAAAAATGAAATGCTTACCTCTTATAGATACAACTTACTTGGAAAAGTGTTTTGGGTTCAAAACAACAGCAGTTTACTGGTTGTCAAAGTAGATATGGAAGAAAAATCCACAACATGAAAACCCTTAATTTGAATTTTTATCATCTTAAATTCCATTTACCCAAGCTGATTGATCCCCTCAAGCTTCAAGAGATTAACTTTACGAAGACTGGGAATGCAAGGCCCTTTACTGACCAGCACAGAGATGTTGGTAGTTCAACACTGATTTGTTAAACATGCCAGAAGCACTGGAAGAGCCCATCTCAGTTAGGACAGACAGTAAGCCGCAGGAGCTGATACTAAGGAAACATTAATATCTATTCAAACTCCCTTGGCAGGGAAGAGGGGCCAGATGCTGAATTGCCCCTTGTTCTGTTAGTGGTTAGTACTGACTAAACTGGATGCTGGTGGCATTCTTTTCGAAGGGATGTCTCTTTGCATCTGCTTGGGGAGCACTGCTGCTCTGCCTTGAGCCCACTGGTCATCACTCAGTTCAGGCTGCCTCCTGGCTACCTCCAAAGTAATAGATGGATGTGAAAGGTTTTGACTATTTTTTTTTTGCTGTGGATAAAGGCACAGCCTTGCTCCTGCTGATTCTTGGTATGTGTTTGTGGAGCAATTGTCTTCTAGTGACTACCAGACTAGGAACGACTGGCGTGCAAACTGGCTGATTTCTTATTTCATGGCTGTGGACTACTTTATGCAGCTTTGTACTGTGAAACATGGGAAACCAGGCTTGGCCAAGAGTGAGTTGCTTAGCAGACGCTTGCTGTCATACAAATTAGCCACAGCTTTTGCATCTTGGAGTGCTGCCAGCACAGAGCTAGCTATTGCGTTAGATGTCTACTACCAGTCATGATCTAAACTGGAAGTGAGAAGATTAATCGCTCTACGAGCATTATCTTAGCAGGTAGTGCTTTTTGTGGTGTTAAACATGTTTCTCATCTTTAAACCCAAACCATAAAATACTGCTCTGAGTTGCAAATCAATGAATGTACAGGAAGAATAGCAAGAGGTTTAATTTAGTGAGGGGACATATCTATCACGCATGTATAGGAGGGTATCTTCCTTTAAAATTCAAAGAGAGGCTGATTTTATTAGTGCCACCCATCTGGTATGTAGCAATGAATGCCTTAAAAACTATATTTTAAATAAATATATACCTGTGTAATATATATATATGAGATATGTATTATACTACTATATTATAAATAAGTGTGGATACAATTGATTTGAGCCAGTAGTGGACAAAAAGTAATAACATCTGATGAGCAGCATCTTTGACTTTACACTGCTCCAGCCAGGATTTTTGATACATAGTTGTACTAATATAGTTTGACTAATGAAACACAGTATTTTTTTTTCCTTGCCTGAAAAATATTCCCCTGTGAAATTTTCCTGAGTGGCTTTCTTACTTAAGGAGGTATCAAGAATTTTTAGTAATTTTGGTAATACAAATTGATAATTTTTAGCAGATCAGCTGTTGTTGGTACTGTCCCTGTACTACAGCAGCACTTTTTGCAGGAGGAATACAAGAGCCACCAGCAGATGCCATTTGCTGCTTGCTTGGGTGCTGGAGAGTTCCAGTTCTTGTTTCTAGATGAGACAAGTGTTTAGGTTTATGCTTAATCTTCACAGGGCTGCTACAAGAGTTTCCTTTCACTTTCTTGCAGTGATTGCTCTTTAGTGTACAGAGGTTCAAAAAAGCCCTTTCTTGCAGCGGCTGCAGAGGTGATTTTTCTGTTTCCCTTCTGCGAGAGAATCTGAAATGCAAAGGCCAAGTAGTAATGTGTACTTGCCTAGAAATAACGTGCTGAGTTTGTAACTCCTGGAGAAAATAGTTTGGCACACAGCTATTTCCGTGTACCTCCCTAGCACCAAGAACAATTAGGCACCAGCTGAAGACAGTGACTGCCAAAAGCGCGTTTGGATGAGGTGGGTGTTTCTGGGTGGTACAGTCATGCGTTAACAAGTGTGACTGCATCACTGAAACAATGTATTTTTGTATCCTCAAGCTCTTTGTAGGGATATGCCATCCTCAGGAGGAAAGGACACCAATAAAGCATCTGGCAGGGAGGAAAGGCATAGAAATGAGCACAGGATAATGAGGTATATCTAACTGCTTGTTTTTATCAAAAATCATCCACCTGAACCGGGTATCGTGTTCGCAGCTGCTTCAGGAATCATTCTGTCTGAAAACTGAAGTGGGAATGGGTCAGCTGCTTCGAATCCAGTTCTCAGGGTGTTGGAAGAAATCTAAACTGATGGGTGGACGGGTGGGCAGCAAACAGCAATGGGGAGGGCAGATGCAGCAGGGATAGGGATCCAGGAAGCTTTGTGCAAACTCTGGAGGAGATATAAACCCCTTACTTGAAAAACACACACAGAGTCTTCTGATAGAGACAGGAAACCAGACACTTTTTTTTTTTTTTTCTGTTTGCTTAGACTGAACTCTGCCAGGGCACAAAAAAAAAAAAAAAAAAAAAAAGACATCTTAGCTCCAGTGCATAAAATCTTGCTCCTTGAATCCGAGGCTAAGTTCCTCTTTACTTCATAGGCAAGTGAAGCAGCATCTTGCAGGAATCTTAACCTTTTTGCACTTCGAAAGAGGAATTGGTGTTTTTTTCCTGAACACATCACATGCATGGGTAAATGCTAGAGATGAAGTGATACTGTGTGGTGCTGTGTGAGAAAGTGTTTGGCACAGTGGATTCTGTCAGGGAGCGAGTGATGAGTCGCAGTCAGACACCAAGAAATGATGGTCCACAAGCCGCAAGTGCTTTTAATAGAGTAAGTGCCCACTCGTTTGATTAGATTTCTTGTAGTTGCCTCTTCCACCACTGGGTATTGAAGGGTGAGCAGATACAGCTCAGTGAAAACGATACAGAAGAAGCCACCCTGCATCTTGAGAAATGTTCAGCATCTTAATTAGGTTCAGAGTATAATACTGTTAAGAGTGCATAAATGACAGCTATTTTCTGTTTATCTACATATGGTTCCATTCTTTGAGTTTTATCCATTATTATTTAAATGAGTATTTTAAGTATCTTTTCTACTAAAAAGCAGCCCCTATTTTTTCTTCCAATTTGATTTCACAAGATATTGTCAAACATCTTACGTGTAAGAGGATAAACAAAACACTCCATACTCCAGCAGTCACAAAGGGAGAAGCAGGGGAGAGGAATAGATGCCTCCAGATAAACAGTATTATGAGTCAATACTCAGTAAACATGGGAAACAGATCTTCAATATTAAATGTTTCAGTGGGGTTTTCTTTGCTGCCTCCTGCTAATCTGCTAATCCTTTTAGAAAGCTATATTTCGTGGCCCTTTCTGGAGATGGCAGAGCACAGCTGATGCTTAAAGCAATTTTTTCTTTCAGCTTAATGCAGCCATTGCTGAGGTCACAGGGGCTGTGCTCTGGCTGCAATTGTAGTGAAGTGCACTAAGCTTGCACTGAGCATGAGCCAATTCCATTCTGTCACATCCTAGTATCCTCAAAATTTAGCTGTGCTACTGCTGTGCTAGAGCTACATATACATGACAAGTGATTCCTGGCTGCATTAAAACCAATGGTGAAGCAAATGCACCCTTTCTAGTAGTTCTAAATAGCATTTCATTTGGACCCTGATAGGAAAGCAGAATACAGTAAGTTGCAGGTGACAGAAACAAATTAGTTCAATATCTCAAGTTTCAAACCTCATCATATTGTAAGAAACTCTTCTGACTGACAGCTGTTGTCTCAGCTGGTAGCCAGCGAGCAAAATACAAAAATTATTAAACTCCAGAATTTGTAATACAGGGTAGGGAGAGGGGGAGAGAGAAATACAAACCACTGAAAGTCTCTTAGGAGAACAATTGCAGAGACCAGTGACACCTTTCCTGAACTAAGGGTGAGCACGCTAGTCTCATGTCTCAGTTTCTTTGTGGTGTTCCTAAGCTGCTGGCCCAGGTGCCAAATTGTAGTAGGATATTGCTGCTGTCAGCCAGGTTTGTAGTTCATGTAAGGAACCTCCAGTCCCTGTGAGGCAGCACTGCATGTCTGGCAATGAGTTTGAAGCTGGGCTCTTAGTGACATAGCCTGAATCTGCTTGTCCTGAAAAGTGCAAAACCTGTCCCTGGGTCCTGGTGTGGCTCTTAGCGACTCAACTGCAGGCAGGGGCAAATGCCCCTTGCTCTGTTAGTACCCTTGGCTGTCAGCAAACTTGCACTGCTGGTTTTGAGGTGAGGGTTGGTCTTGCAGTGTGGCTTGGCATCCAGAACATGCCAATCAGAATTGGCCAAGGTGCCATCTTTGAGGCCTTAGAAGGGATTTATTCTTTGATGTTACTTTTGACTGAACAAACTGGCCAGGGATGTGACTGCAAGGCCCTTTTAGCTATTCTGGGACTGGGGATATGGACTAGATGCTCTGGGGGAAAGATTGGTTTAGAGGTGCCTGCCAAAGTGTGTCCCACAGGATCCTCTGCCCAGGAATGCACTGCATACTGAGGTCACTCCATCTGCCCTGGCTGCAGAAGTTGCTGCACAGCCTTTTCCAGGGAGCCTTGGTGCTTTCTCACATGCTTGGGAAGAGGGTGCACAGCCCTAGTGCTTGAGGCAGTCAAGAGAAGACCTGGGGCACACCGGGCTTCTGAGGTTGGAAGGCTGAACTTGCTGAGCCAGAGCTGTCAGCGCCAGTTCTTCATTAGGTGGCCCTCACCCAAACCTCACTAAGCCACCCTCCAGCAGCAGCTCTCTGAGGGTCCTGGAACAAACTCTGTGGTTGGGTTTGGAGCTGCAAGCCACAGGTTCTGTGCCTGGCCAGGTGTGTGAGGACATGAAAAGAGAAGTGTCTTATACTTCTCTTCTAATATCTCCATGAGGAAGACCAGCTGCTCTTTATGAGCTTTCTCTCCCCAGTCCCTATGGAAGTGGTGCCTCAGAGCACTGGACATGATGCATACCCAGCTTAATGGAGGTGCCCCAGGTATTTGGCTGTTTCCCTTGGGGCTCTGGCCATGCCTGCTGGGGGTGTGCAGTGGCAGAGGGCTCACAACACCGGCTTGCTGTGAAACTGGAAACCAGCACATTGCCTGCTGCAGGGGTGCTGTGGGGGTGAAACACAGGGAAGACCTTCCTCTATGGGAGAAGGCAGGGCTGCAGCTGCACTCAGCTCATCAAGGTAGGATGATGCTAGATATATATAAAGCTATTACCCTTTGCTGGGAATGGCTTGGCTCTATGCTGCAGGCCTGTGCCATACCAATAAAATCATGTGGCAATTCCATGGTGTATTTTCTATCCTATATCAGTAGGGTTTAAAAGCTGTGTGTTGTTTTACCTGAAATTTCATTGATGCTTGAGGGTTACTTAAAAAAAAAAAAATGTGTATTTCCTTCATATTTAAGGTAACACCTTATGCTTCAAGCTAGGCAGCTGTGCAAATCCCAACTGGATCAGAACCACAATATGCTACCTGTTTTTCTAGAGCAAAACTGATCCCAGATGATCCATCGCTTTAAAACTTGGGCAATTTATGCTCCCAATACTACTTATACAAAAAAAGTCATAATGTAAATGCGGAGTCTTGGTGCTTTTCCCTAAATGCAACACATGTCATCTCAGTTATATAAATTTATACAGGTTAAAAAACAATGAGTATGTTCTCCTTATATGAAGAAAAACTCTTAAAAGTATTGCCTACACCGCACAAGCTTCTGGAAGGCTTTCTTGAAATCTTCATTAAAGATGGTGTAGATTAAAGGGTTAATAAGGGAATTTATATATCCCAGCCATGCTAGGAAATTAGACATGTCTTCTGAGATGTGACATCTTTCACAGGTATTAACAACTACTTCTTTTACAAAAAAAGGGAGCCAGCAGATCACAAACGCCCCCAGGATCAGACCCAGCGTAGTTGCTGCCTTTCGCTCTCTTGTGCTAGAGATTCTCTGTTTTTTCCAGGACTTTTCATGCTTAGATTCAGACCTGGGGCTTCGCAGGGTGATGTTGATTTTATCAGAGTTCACCAGGGGATCTGATGTCTTCTCTGCCGTGCTGGGCATTGAAGCTGATTTGGTGCTTCTTTCACCTGCGTCCAAAAGGACTTGTCCATTTACCCCCCCCTCCTCCCTCACGATCCGGCTGACACTTCTCCTGTGAAATGTCTTTGCTGCCTTGTATATCTTGTAATAGAGGATCAGAATCAAGGCCAGAGGGATATAGAAGGCGCCAAATGTGGAGTAAATGGTGAAAACTATGTGGTCGTGTTTGATGATGCACTCGTCGTCCCTGCTGGCCGTCTGGTGCCGCCAAAACAAGGGCGGCATGGAGATAAAAATGGATATGATCCACACCACTGCTATCATGATGGCAGCGTGCTTAGGTGTCCTTTTCCGTGCATATTCCACAGCGTCCGTGATCGCTCTGTACCGGTCCAGAGCAATGGCAGAGAGATGCAGGATGGAACACGTGCAACACGTGATGTCCACGCTCAGCCAAATGTCACACACCACCTGCCCCATGATCCAGGTCTCCTTTACAATGTAGACAATGCTGAAGGGCATCACCAGGACTGCCACAAGGAAATCAGTCACTGCAAGAGAGCAGATTAGATAGTTGGCCGGGTGGTGGAGCTTCCTTGTCACAATTATCGCAGTCATCACGAGAGAATTGATGGCCGTTGTCATTAGAGCAAGCACAGACAGGGTAATGGAAATGAGAATCTTGGATGTCACCCATTTGAACGGTTCTGATGTACTGTTTTGATCAGTTGAGTTTATTAAATCCATGTTCCCTTTTAAAGGTGATCTTTACTCGTAGCAGTTACCTGTTGGAAAAGTAAAAACATTCAGAAAGTGCATCCTTAATCTGCAAGAGCTCTTGAATTTTTTCATCTTAAAAGACTGTTTGCCTCCAACCTTACAAGATCTTCGGACTTATTAGAAGTTATTCTGTCTCCAAACAGATTTTCCTGCCTAGCACTATGTGGGATGCTCTGCTTTTAGGCTTGCACTGTTCACTCCATTAAGCAATGTAACAACTGTCAAAAACATTAATCCAGCAGGCATAATGCTTATTTTCTCTATGTAAACTTTTTTCAACCCCTTCAGTATGTGAGTCATTCCTTATGTATAGATGAGCATGGGCTTTCTAAACTGGGTCATAGTTTTCAAGAGAAAACAGAAATGTAAAACATTGCAGTACAAATAGAAGAAAAAATATTTGCAGGTTGAAAGTGTCACTTTAGAGCTTCCTCTTCCGCAGCTCTAAAATGAAACAGCTAAATATATTCTAAAGCTTCAAATTGTTAACTCATTGTCTAACTGACATATTATACATAGGTTAGTCTTGAGAACATCTTTACTTTTCCTCAAGTTTTGCTATTCTGTGGTTGCTGCTGAAGAAAACTGCAAAATACGTGGATGCCAGTTGTTCTGCTAATGACTCTCACTATGGAAACAGCCTAATGCCTCTTATGGCTCTGCTGGAAGAAAAAAGCAGGGAAATAGTGATGAAATAAGTTCTTGATCATGTTCTGGGGATGAGCACCTTACTTTCTTATCAAGAAGAGTTTTTGAGCACTCTCTGGATGGTAGCTGAGTTAGGAGTTTCCAGTGTTTTACCGTGAGTTATAAGCTCTACTCTAAAGAGGGTCAGAGATCATCCTCTCGTGAGTTCTGACCTGCAGTTTCTCAAGTGAGTAAGATCTGCCTCATGAATCCCTAAGTGGGGTTTTGTCTGACAGGTTTTGGAGTTTAGTGAGTGACTTGTACTTGTGTTGCATTGGATGCCACAGGTATGGAAATATGTGAAATAAGGGAATGATTTTTCTTAGGAAGAATGGGTCTCATTAACATAACTAAAGCATTTTGATGTTGTGCCAGAGTGGCTGGAAAGGAATCTCATACACTGTTTAAAACCTTAGACCCAGCTCAGTAATTTGATTTGATATTCTAACCTGGTCAATGATCAATATGCTATTGACCTAATCAAAAAAGCTTTTAGCACTGCTTGACCACCATTTCAGTGAATAGAAACACAATGGAAATGTATTTCATGTGCTGATATTTATAAATGCTGAGAAGATTCTTGTCCTGTACACGAACTGATGATGATGTCAGTGCTCTTTCTGCATTCTTTATTCTGAACTTGAAATATACTTTACACATGTAAAACCAGATCTTTCATTGCATCAGTGTCACCTTAAAACCTGAATCCACCACAATTGCTAGTTTGTGGGTATTTTTGTCTGTAGCCAGTTGCTTTCTAGAGAAAGAAGAGGTAGATACAGTATTATGTGGTGAATGTTCCAACTCTGCTAAATAGATCTTCTTTTTTGAGCTTGTATAAATACATGGGAAAAAAAGCTTATTGGCAAAAACTAAGACATGTGATATCCAGCAGTTGATCATACTTTAAAACAGTTACTCATTATGGTTAATTACCTTATAAATATCCAACTCTTTGGATATTAGTCCTTAATTGCAAGTAAGAAAAAACAATTTAGAGATAATGAAAACTGATTAATGGCTTTTGAAGGATTATTCAGCTTGAGACTGCGGAGTAAGGAAGATAGCATGGGCAGGTTTGTAAAACTGCTGTGTAGGAATATGTAAGTTCCCCTAGTGCTGCTGTGATTTTGAGACCCTTTATAAGAAGACAGTGACAGAAAAGTGCTTACTTGCCAAGTGCAGTGATTATGCTCCTCTGTGTGGCCTTAAGATTACCAGCTGGTGTGCTCAGCTTTCATTCAGGCTGCTGGCATGGCAATACAGGGGTATTGGAGGCTCTCACATGGAGTTTTTCGTGAGATGGATAATTATGCTGGGGTCTCCTGTTCATGGGACATAACCTGTTCTTTACGATACCCATCTGGACATAATGCCCTCCTGCTCCTGTGTGGAGAGTTAAGAGCCTCTGCTGTTCCAACAGATGTCCAGGATGGTCCTCATGGGCCGCTGTGAATACCAGAGTGTGGCTCCATCCAAGGCAGACAGTGGCAACCCCATATTGATCTGCTCAAGATCTGCCCTCCATGGAGGTGCCTCCTTTTGAGGTTAGAGAGTCACTCTTTAACCACTGGCTGTTCTGCCAGTCACAAAATTTGGTGGCTTTCCTGTTCAAGTGGAATGGGGATCTTCTAACTGATGGCAACTAGTTAAATCTTTGGTGTTGGAAACATCCGTGCAAATTTATTGGGTGATCATTAACTAAAAAGATTATTTTATAAACATGTGGAGTTGACATGCTGACAGCATTTAAGGACTTCTGCCTCTCTCTTTTTATCACACCCAAGATGAACTAATTCTGGATTTTCTCTTGTTAAATTGAACTCATTTCAGTCAGTTGCCTTTACTGGCTTCTGTCCTCAGTAAGGAACTGACCCACTTTTAGGAGTGTGAAGGATAATCCTGTCAACAGTGCACTGAATTAGGAAAGCTGGCTTCTGCCCCTGGGCTGTAGGCTTTCCTTGTCAATTCTGGAGGAAATTCTTTATGGTGTTTCTGCTAATTCTCTGTAACATAGAAGCAAGAGTACTTTCCTAGTAGTCTACTCTGTGCATTTGTATTGCTTTCTCTTAGTAGCATGACTTATCTCTTTTATGAATTTATTGCAGGGAAGATCTAATCTCAGGTCATACCCACAGGTGCTCTGGGCATCCTGGCATGGCTACACACTGTGCTTCCAGATTGGACTTTGCTGTTATTCCTGTGAGTCCACCAAGCTCCTTCCTCACAGAGCAGGCACAGTCCCTCTGCCCTGTGGTGTGGTGTCTCCTTATGGCCTCATACCCGACATAAGACTTCAAAATAAAGCATGGAAGACTTGGAACTCTCTTCTCTGAGCATTGAATTGACCTTGGTGAATGAAAACAAACTTGCAGCCATACTGAACTGGAGAGAAATTTGTATTTTGACAAATATAGAATAGGTTTAGCAGTGACTATCTTCAGCATGCAACTTTTTTCTAAAGAATTATTACAGTCCAGATGTTTTTAAGGCTACTTTTGTGGTACTGGCATCTCAGTGCCCCACTTGAAGGACTAAGCTGAATCTATCTTTGAGTTATCTAACATAACTCAAATTCCCTGAGAGGAGTTCTTGATGCAGTTGGAAGTGTTGCCTTTGGTTATTACCTTTTCGGTATGCAGCTGTTGTTGGAAAACTTTGGAAAGACTTGAAACTTTAATTTGCATAATACTGTCCTGAATTTAAGATTGGTGAAAAAGACATCTTGTACTTTATCTTTGTTATTTATTTATTATTATTTCTGGTTGCTGAACAAGAGCTCTGTAAACAAAGGAAATTGCTGTTCACCTAAGATAACATGTCTATTCTCTTGGAAACATGAACATTATTATTTTTCAAGGAATTAGCCACTTCTACAAATCTTTTTTTTCCTTCCCTTCCAGATATGGCATGTTAGGGTGGCCAGAATATAAGTACTTCCTTGTCTTTAAATGCACACATATATCATCCTACTGATCTTACCTAGAAGGCATGGTGCAGCCTCATCACAAAAGTAAACACTGAATTTGTCTAGTGGCCACTCAAAGAAAACGGATGTTGTTGGTCCTCCTCAGTTCTGCCCGAGCATGACAATGTGTTATTAAGCCCATACCCACTCATTTGTGTCTGAGATTTACAAAATAGTAATAGGATTACTCCTGTTCAATAGTATTAGTGTGTCCTTCCAGGTCTGGAAAACGGTATACTCTGCCTTTCAATAAACCTGAAAAATAATGTGAAATGCTGACAGCTGGGGAAATGTGGCTGGAAATAGCTTTGAGAAGAGCATCAGCATCAGCCTGCTGTTTGGGATTCTGAATTTTGGGGCCTGGATATTTTTTTTTGGTTGGTTGGTTTGGGTTTTTTTGTTTGTTTGTTTTTTAGTATTGCTTTAAATAATGGCAGTGGGGAAAGTTGCTGATTTGGGTTTAAGTACTGCTTTTGAATAAGTTTCTGAGTGTACTTGGAGGGGTCGGAGGTGGTTCATTAGCAAAATCTGTCTTAATTAAAAACCAGTAAGTACTCAGACAGCAAAATGGACCACTGCAAATTGAACTCAGGGTATTTGAAATGCTACAGGCAGCAATAACAGCCTTTGTGCATTAAGTAAACACAAAGCTGTGTCAGAGGCACAGATACATCCTGTTCTACTTGTTTTCAGCTATCCTGTTTTTATTACCTGTTTCTGTATAGGCTAACCAGATCCTCACTCAAGGTAAGACTAAAATAACCATAGAAAGATTAAGGAGTTATAAATATCAGCCTTGCTTGGGAGCTGAAATTTCTTCTGAAGCTTTTATAAGCTTGTAAAAATCCTTCCTGATGTGACTGTGTGTCTAACCATGTGATGTACTAATGACAAGTAGATTAGTAATGATCCATCATATTAAATGTGAGTAGAGGGAAATATTACTCCTTTGGATTAAACAAATCTGTTTAAGAAGGATGAGCTTGTAGTTGGATCTGATAGGGTATGTACTTTGAGCTTGAACCCTAGTGTCCCAACAGGTGGAGCAAGAGTAGAGGGACACTTTCACTTGATTCTTAGTGTCCTGTCCTTTAATTCTTTCTTCCCAATAACTCTTGTTAAGGCTCCTAAAGCGACAGTGCATCCCCCTGGGACAAGGCAGGGATAACGAGAAGGTTTGTGAGAGAAGTTACTTGCCAGTCAGAGGCTGCTGCAGCAAACTTGACTTGCCTGGGATGCAAAGTAGATGTCTGTCAGCAGATTGAAGTGCGAAGCAGAAATTACAAGGTTGCCAACTTTCCTTACCCAGTCTGCGTTTCTGCATGCTTAAAACCCTTTTTTCCTCCCCTC